GGCAGCAGCAGGTGGGGGGGCAGCTGACAGTAGGGAGGGCATCAGTGGGCGATGGAGGGCAGTGAGGGCAGCAGCAGGCAGCAGCAGGTCGGGAGGGCAGCCGTGGATGAGGAGGGCAGCAGCGGGTGGGGAGGGCAGCAGCGGGTGGGGAGGGCAGCAGTGGGGAGGGAGGGCAGCAGTGGGCAGGCTCGGCTTCCTGCGCAAAGCGGTGCACAGGCAGGGCTCAGAGGCCATCTCCAGGTGGGGGTGATGGTAGTGGAGGAGGAGGAAGAGGCCTCACCAGAGGAGGGAGAGGAACAGAGGGAGCAGCATGCCCCTACTCTGAGGCTCAGAGGCAGGAAAGTACCCGGGGTTCCCAGAGCAGTGAGAGGCCAATGGTGGAGAGGGGACAAAGGGTCAGGGGCTAGGAGGGCTGAGACCCCGGCAGGGCCAGATCAGGAGGCGGAGGAGCAAGGACAGCTCCGCACACACCTGTGCTTCTCCAAACCCTTCCCCAGGTGTGCCCGGCTGGACCGCCTTCCCGGATGCCTCTGGAGGCCCTCCCTGCAGTGTGCCCCACCCCTGCCCCAATGAAGCCTCAGTGACCACCTGTCTGCGTACTGGGAGACAGAGGCTGTGCCCACCCCACCTGTCCCCACCCACCCCCACACAGAAGCAATGCCGGGGGTGGTCAGAGCCGGGGCAAAGGACCGTCAAGCCCAAATGGTGACCAGAGTTCTGGGAGTAGGGGGGGACCCCCAACGCCAACCCTCCCCCAGCTGCGTCTGGCCCGGGCCACCTATCCCTGCCCCAGCCTCTCTCCAACGTGCTCCTGGACGCCAAGTGGACCCAGTCCCGCTCTCTTTCCTTTTCTTTCCCCGGCCGCCCTCTGCTGGAGCTGGCTGGCAGGAAGGGGGCCCAACCAGCCTGCGGGGAACAGCCCCATGCCAGCTCTGGTCCCCAGAGAAGAGCCCGCCAGGCCCACTGGGGCCCAGGCTGCTGGGCAAGGCCTGGCATGCCCACAAGTCCCGGGGGCCTTTGTGTTGAGCTGGGACTCTCAGCCCTGATCCTTGGGACAGGGCAGGACAGGATGGGGCAGCTTGGGAAAGGCCCAGGACTGAGGTGAGCTAAGGTGTGGCCCTGGGAAGGAGGGGAGGAGGGAGGGGCTGCCGAGAGAAGAGAGTTTAGAAGAGGCGGGGTAGGGTATGGAGTGGCAGTTACCAAGTCCGTCCTGTGTCCCAAGGGGCAGCACCACCTGGACCTCTGGTCTGTCCTCACCTGTGCAAGACGCTCCTGGAGCCGGCTGGGCCCACACGTCCTGTAAGATGTTTTGGACGCCTGAGACATGAGGTGTAGCCGGTCAGCCCACGGAACAGCAGCAGGGCTGCCCCAAGCAACTGAAGACACCAATGACAAATGCCACCTTCCCGAGTATCCCTGGGCTGGTGGGGGTGGGTCGGGTACTCCTGAGTGGGACCCGCTGGCAGAGGGGACCCCCCCCCCACATGCACACACCACCATCACCGCCGCATCCCGCCTGGGCAGCAAGGAAAGGCTTTCCTAGCCCCAGGTGGCTTTTTCATTTCCTGAGACCGAATGTGGGTACACATGGGAGGGTGTCCCATGGCCCTGTCCTAGCTCGCGAGTGGGCGTGGGGGCGCACCGAGCCCTAGACTGGCACCTCCCAGAAATCAAGGAATCAGGGCTTGAGAGTTTGTCCAACAGAAGTTAGAACTCCCCCTCCAAGCACCGTCTTGCCCCTACCCAGGAGAGAGCGGGCAGCCCCACGACCCCCAGACCTATTCTGAGAGACTTGCTAAAGACGCTAGAAGGCTTCTGTCCCCACTTCCCTCCCCCCTCCCCCCAGGGGGTAAAAAAGGGCAAAACCAGGCTACGGAATGACCTGTTTCAGAAAAGCCCTGGGGGGAGGGGGGTGGAGACACGAGAGGGCAAATGGGACCCCCTCCCCAGCCAGGTGTGGCTCCCGGAGAATCCTTAGCCCACCTAAAAGGTCCCATTCCCGGGCAGTGAAGGGCGGTTTGGGGTCGCTGGGAAGAGCAGGGGCCAGGCCGGCTTCCCTCGGAGTGGGACGGTCCCGGGCTGTGCAGTCCCCAGCGTTCCTGTCCCTGGCGGTAGCCCGGCTGGGAGAAAGAGGAGAGGGGCCCCATCCGAGACCCCCGCCCTCTGCACACACTCAGGGATTTACCTGCTGGAGCTGCGGGGTCCAGAGGGGATGTCCCGGGACGGAGCGCGCCGCCAGGGTTGCGAACACCAGAGGGG